TCCCTTCCAACCCCTATGATTCTGTGATGCTATGCATCATCTCTTGGGTGTTGTTAGGAAAAAGTAGACATTGATCCTAAAGTTACAACATCTGCAGGATAAGATCAGCAGTTGTTTTTGAGTGCACTGCTTTGGCTTTCAGAGTCTGAAAATTATGCAGTGACTGAAACAAGTGAATTGGTGAGAATGCAGAAAGGTTGGTGGATTTTTTTATTGTTGGTTTTTGGTTTGTTTATTAAAAACAATTTTGAAGGTAATTCAAGCTTCAGGATTTTTTTTTTAATGTTATAATTTTCTACTCTGAAACCATACCTTTAAATCAATGCTTTATCTTATCTCTAACTCAGGTAAAAGGTGTTACCTTTTACCTAGGAAGTAAATGCAGTGGCAGTGGTGCCACCTTTCAGTAATCACTAGTATAGCCTCTGCCCTTTGCCTGAGCAGGGAAGGGGTGAAGCATCATGCCATAACAGCTATCCCCACATTTATGTTAATGTGCTATACGTGACATACCTCTGCTACAGTGTGGGTAAAAGTTAAGTCTACATCTTGGCAGCTGTCATGCTTCTCTGCGATCCTCTCTGCTTTTCTGCCTCATTGCTGTGGCTGGAACTTCTGCACCCATATCTCCTGAGCAACATAGAGTAGGAGACCCTGCTTAGCACCCCAAAAGCTCTTTTATCACCTCTGTGGTAATGCCACCCAGTGTGTTTGGAGGTCTGTTATATGCAATACACATACAGGATTTTGATGAAAGTTGTTATTACAGCTACTCTTGCAGCTTAAGAAGAAATCGGCAGGTGTTGGCTGTTCACAAGGCAGGATATGGGATAAAAAGCAGGTGGACCTTATATATTCCATATGTGTGACTACTTTCAAAGCTGCTCACTCACCTTAGTAGAGATAGAACTCTTTGTGTCCTGTTAACTGGGAGGGGACCTCAGGTCAAAAGGTGACTTGACAGTGTCTTCAGTTCACAATAAGTAAGATTAAGATTCAGTCTGTCTCCAGAATCACACATCCCTTTGCAAAGGAAATTCTGGAGCTGCTGCTTCTCCATTTACTGTGGCTGGACAGAAGATAAACTGTGTTTCTTTTTTTTCTTTATTTTTTAGAGAGTATGGGTTATCCTACCTTTCTCTGAGAGCTAGCATTGGACTGTGGACTGCAATCCTGTGCATCATCCTTGTTGCAACTGATGCAAGCTCCCTAGTCTGTTATATTACACGGTTTACTGAAGAAGCTTTTGCTTCTCTTATCTGCATCATTTTCATTTATGAGGCCTTAGAGAAGCTGTTTCATCTCAGTGAGACATATCCAATCAACATGCATAATGATTTGGATCTGCTGACAACATACTCGTAAGTAAGATTTCTTCTGTTAAGACTGAGGTTTTTCCCTATAGGTTGTGTTTTCTTTGTGAGGAGTGGAAACCAGTGCACAGCAGGAAGACTTTGCAGTAGTGGCAAACTTAACATGTGGAAGCTATTGAGTTAGGCATGGTGCTGGCATATGGAAGTAGTAGTTACTGGAGGTATGTTACTTTAGATAAGTAAAAAATATCTTGACTTGGAGTTTGGAAAAGCTTACACACACAAAACTTGGAAGTCCTAGAATAAAAAATAGAACTTGGAGTGTCTTGAGCTTTAGGTCTTTATTCACATTTTTATTTAATGAGGTGTAACTCAATGATCTCTAACTATAACCGTGTATTGATGATTTATAATTTTTTATTGGACGTTCAGGCTATGTTACCTGTTTTGCTTTTTTTTCTAAATTCATATATTGACCTATCTAAAAAGGATATAATTTCATGTACCTCCTTTAATTTAACCTCTCTGGCACTTGAGGTTCAAGCTTCAAGAACTGAAGTGGATTTGGAATTTTTAGGTGCTTCTCAGTGGTAATTGATTTTGTCATAATCAATGTGTTCTTAATAATAAGATTTTTTAATATGACTCCATTTAAGGAACTTTACTTTGTTGTGGAGTTTTGACAAATGTATTTGGACAAGTAGTATTCTACTTGGGGAATAAAAAAAGTGAATGGCTTTAATCAATGTAGTTTCATTTAGAAGTAAAAACTCATAGACATGTTTCTGTGATACAAGAACAAAAATGTTCCTCAGGTACAGGACAAGATCCTAGTCTGGCCTGAGGCCACTTACGCCTGGTCATCTCAGCAACTAATATCTTATTAAAAAGCATTTTCAGAGAAGATCCCCCTCCAGAAATGTCTTTATTATTTTACTGAACCCATTTGAACATTTTGTGTGAGCAGGGTGGGGCCGAAAAGGAACAATGCCTCAACAGTGCCACATCTTCTGTTCACTGGGAAAAAAAAAGGAGTGTCTCAACTAAATGTTTCATTTGCATTTTAAGCTGAGAAAAACAAAATACAGCAAGAGAGAAAACATTTGAGCTTTGTGTATGTTATCACTAGAAAAAATAGTTAGCAAATCCTGAATATGAATTTACATTATATACCTTATTACACAGAACAAGTTAAATTACAGAAACTAGAGTTCTTCTGTGACGTGCTGTCTCAATGCTGAAAAAATGTTATTTCTCTCTAATAGTTTAATCAGAAGACAAACGAATATTAATTTGAAGAGAAAGCCATAAACATCAAGAATATACCATGCATGCAGTTGAGGTTGTATCTTGGTCTTATTTAACGTCACTTAAAGTCATAGAAGTTGATATTTTACTCTTAAGGAGCCTCATGGAGCACAGTGTTTGTGGATTTTTTTTCCCCTTGTCTCAAATGGAAGGAGAATATGATGTTCTCGTATGGTTTTGAAAAACAGACGTTGTAGTACTATACAAAGAAAAAAAATTATTCAGAAACCATTTAGCGGGTGATGCTGAGTTGTTAAAATATGTAAAAATTATGTTTATGCTAAAAAGCATAAACAAAACCAGCAATATGAATTCCTGGGTAGTTAGCTTTATTTGTGGTTAGCTGAATGAAGCGATATTGCTTGAGTTTTCAGAGAAATAAGATTAACAGTCTTGCTTGTATAGGGGCACAGTGATAGGTATCTCTATATTTTATGATAATGTTTTATCATCATAGTCCTTATGTTTGCAAATAAATGGTTTTGGTTTTATTTAAAATTGCAGTCCTTAATCAGAATCCGAGATTGATTTTTGAAGGGTATTGTTTACTCAGCGCCTGCCCTTGTTAACTGTCTTCATTGAATGCAGAATGTTCAGAGCACACAGAATGGTAAAAGAGGAGCAGTTGTCATCCTCCAGTTACAGCTATTGACCTGTCCTGTTCTACAGTGTTAGAATACCAGCACAACAATGTTAGATTTTCCAAACACAATTCCTGAAGGACAGGTGTCTTCCAGATGTTTGGAAGAAAGATTTGACCACTGCCTGGTGGTTTTAAACTCATATATAGCTATCAAAATTACTTGATATAATAGTTTTGTAGTTATTTATGGGGTTATAATTTCATACCTGTGTTCTCAGTGTTCTTTCACTCTGTGTAGAAAGAACAAATAAATTGACTTTTTAACTCCTACATTACATTTCACTTTTGGCATTTATGTTGTATCTTCTACTTGCAGCAATATCCTGTTTATTACCAATATCACATCCATGGCAACTGACTCCACTAATACCAAGATGACTAGTTGTAGACTTAGTTAGAAGCAGCATAGTTCTTATGGGATGTGGCTTATTTTTTTTAACCTTAAAACTGATTTTTGGAAAGCCCAGTATGCATACTGATTATCTTGTAAGAGCACATCTGCTAATTCCAAGGATCTGTGCTCTGAACCAACAAAGTGGTAATTCCAGCCTCTCCTGTTCTCTCCTCTCCCTTGTCCTTCATCTGAGTTTTTCTTAGTTCTCCAGAACTGGCCCTGACATGTTGGGAGAATGGAAAGATGTGCTCTGTTGGAGCAACTTGACATTAGCTGCCCAAATGGCTAGTGCTTTCACAGCAGGCTTTGTGCAACCTGAACTCTGTGGGTTTGCTGTGCACACATGCACATACTCCAGACAGAGTGGCCATTTGCCCAGAACATGATGGTATCACAATTACCATCACCACAGGATCATCGCAAGACATTTCAAATAACCCCCACTCCCTGCTCAAATGTCTGTATGTGTCTCAGTTCCAGAGAGGTAAGAAACTAGAAGATGAATAAGCATAAAAGCTTACTTGAAATAAATACCTCATTTTTGTGTACTTGAAGTTGGGGAATATTCCTTTCACAAGGAATTAGAAGCTTCTTCTGCAGCATCTGACTCCAGTCCTTCTACTTGTCATTTAAATAGGTAACAAAAGTGGTCTGAAACTGATCCTGTCCTTAAAGGACCAGCATACTCTGCTACAGAAGCTAATTAGTATCTGCTGTTTTGCTAATTAAAACAGCTGTTTGCATTTTCCTCTTTGGGGATTTTAAAGACAAATTTTTAATTGTTAGTAAAGCCTTGGCAGTTCTTTAATTAGCAATGGGTGAACTTCAAAAGGTTGAGCAACTCATTTCTCTTTGAATGCTCAGCCTAAGCTTATATAAAACATTATCTTGGATCTGCAATTCTATGCTAGAAAACTCAGGTTATACTGTAAAATTTCTATATTTTCTGTATTCTGCCTGTTGCCCACTCAGAAGGTTGATGATAAAGAGGTCAGGACACTGTATATATTTGAAGCTTTCAGTGTATGCTGTGCCCCAGCCCACCTCTCTTCTCACATGGGCTTTCTGAGGATGCTTTGATGTCCACAGGTAGTCCGTCTACAATCCCAGTACTGTTACCTTTGCCCTGGTGAAGGTGTGAGTTTGATTCAGGAGAAGTCGTTGGCATGCTGTTAGTACTGTCCTTTGGAGTACTAGAAAGACAAACAAATTAGTAATTTATTGTGGTTGGTGGGAAAGAAAACCCATTCCATATTTTGGGTGAGTTTGAATTCTGTCATAAACAGTCTCTGTTGCAGGAGTTTGATGTAAAAGACTATATTGCATGTATCTCCTCTTATATTTAAGAGTATAGGAGTCATTACTAGTATCTGCCATAACAAACATTAGAAGGCTATAGAACATTCAGAACACTTGGGTTTTTTTGCTTGTTTTATTGAGATTTGTTTGTTTGTTTGTTTTTAAATCTAGCAGACCCAAATATTTGAAAATCAACTGAAAGTCTTCCTGAAAGATTTCTTAAAAAGTTATATTTACCATTTTAGATAGAAGATATGAATTTGTTACAGAATTCGATCTCAAAAAGACAAAAATATCTTTTGTTGCATGGTCTAATTAGTGTAGAACTAGTCCTAATGCACTTTTTACTCTTTTTCTTTATTATACTTGTTTGTACTCTGTGCTGAAATATTGACCCCAATTGTCAGGTGACCTGTGTGCACGCAAATCAATTCAGCATTCATCTCCAACTTTTTCTTAAAATACCATCTTTATGATATGAACGTTAAATAATAGAGCATTTAAGAGCTAAATCAAAAGGACAAAGAACCTGATTTTCAGTCTGCTACTGTGTTGCATTTTTTTCTTTTTAAACTGCATTGTTTTGAAGGAATTTAAATACAGTAGCTACATTGTTTATTAGATAAAATACACATACTTTTTTAGCTGAGATTTTCTTTCTTTCTTTGTTTCTTCTTTCATGATTTTTTTTGGTGGGTTTTTTTGGTTTTTTTTATGTTTTTTTTTACTGTGACCTTTTTGTATTTGTCATGCCATTAGCATTTGTAGGTTGGCATAGCAACTCTCTTACTTCTGCAGTCTCCTCCTGCTTTTTCCTGATCCTGACTCCTGTAGCAAATATATCTCCAGTTAGTGGATCCTATCTGGAACAATGATGCACATCAGTTTTAATGTGTATATTAAACATTAAGGTATAATTTTTCCTAGGAAAGGAGAACCCTACCACTGGGTGGATAAGAAACAAAGGTTTTCAAAAGGAAAACAAGCATTGTGGATGAAAGGAAAGTGATTTAAAAACCAATCCAATATTCTTTAAAATGCAACCATTTTAAGATAGTTATCTTAGAATACAGAAGATCAATTAGTTCTCAGTGTGAGGTTGCTTAGACCTTGGGATTTTATGAAAATAATTTTTAATGAAAAAACCTTTGTTTTTTTTCATTAATTCTTTTTTCAGAGTGATGAATTCATGTTGTTTTTAATAATTCTTTACCAGAAGTTACTCAATTATTAACAGATTACATTGAATAATTTTAAAGTGATTTCTTGGCATAGTAATATGCATATTGCAATCTGTCTTGGTATTGACATGCACTTAAGCATTAGGAGTAGAAAATCCCACTCTGATGTAATTAAGGAGCCAAGATCATGTCAATCTCTGTATCTTTTGCAGGCTATAGAAAC